TGATTTCATAGCCAATCTTTGTTCTAACACTAATATTAGGTACCGAAATAGTACTCAAATACATAGTCACAAACACACCTGCCTTGGTCATTTGCTATTGTCTAGAAATATATACAAAGTATTTATAGGTCCCAGCAATGTTTTAGACACACTGGAGTATATATGAAACTCCTTAAAGCATGGTGTAAGACGAGTGTTACTCCACTGCTGACATTACAGCAGTGGAGTGATACTTGATGATCGTGCACTGCTGCAGGGAACCCTGGGTTTATTTGTTTTCACTGTTACACATAAACATGTTTGTCTGTCTGTCTAGCTCTGTCTGCTTATCTCTCTTTCTGTCTGCCTGTGTGTCTCTGTCTTTCTGTCTGCTTGTCTCTCTGTCTCAGAGAGCAGCTCATAAGCCAACAGGTATTACACATGATGCAGAGTCATCACATCTGATTCCTGATCAAGTGAAAATGCGTATTACTTGCCAGTCATGCTTATTATGCCATATATCTACAAGTATAGTATAGCACTTTCTGGATTTTTTGGGTTATTCTAGGTAATTTACACTATGTATGATAACTGTACATATGTGTACCTGTGAGAGAGAGACAGAGATATAGACAGAGACAGAGATAGAGACAGATGCAGATTGAGAGTCAGCCAAAGTCAGCTAGACAGCCAGCCAGCTGTCAGTAAAAAGCCAGTAAAAAGGGGAGTACATATTTGATTTAGTACCTGAGTTACTGAAACAAATCTTTGGGTATATTTGCGAAAAGTTTGGAAAAATACTTGGGTATTTTTTATAAGGACTTGCCTTGCATGGGCCAGTAGGCCTGCTGCACTGTTACTCCAGTATTATATATATCCTTATGGAAATTACTTTTCCGAGTACAGTGGAACCTCAAAAATCAAACTTAATCCATTCCAGGAGCTAGTTCTAAATTCGAAAAGTCTGAAATTCGAAGCAATATTTCCCATAAGAAATAATGGAAATACAATTACTCCGTTCCAGAAACCCAAAAATATTCACACAACAAATACATTTTATAGAGATTAATTACAATTTTACATACAACAAATACTATAGTTTTTAATTGTGTATTACCTGGAGTTTACCTGGAGAGAGTTTCGGGGGTCAACGCCCCCGCGGCCCGGTCTGTGACCAGGCCTCCTGGTGGATCAGCGCCTGATCAACCAGGCTGTTGCTGCTGGCTGCACGCAAACCAACGTACGAGCCACAGCCCGGCTGATCAGGAACTGACTTTAGGTGCTTGTCCAGTGCCAGCTTGAAGACTGCCAGGGGTCTGTTGGTAATCCCCCTTATGTGTGCTGGGAGGCAGTTGAACAGTCTCGGGCCCCTGACACTTATTGTATGGTCTCTTAACGTGCTAGTGACACCCCTGCTTTTCATTGGGGGGATGGTACATCGTCTGCCAAGTCTTTTGCTTTCGTAGTGAGTGATTTTCGTGTGCAAGTTCGGTACTAGTCCCTCTAGGATTTTCCAGGTGTATATAATCATGTATCTCTCCCTCCTGCGTTCCAGGGAATACAGGTTTAGAAACCTCAAGCGCTCCCAGTAATTGAGGTGTTTTATCTCCATTATGCGCGCCGTGAAAGTTCTCTGTACATTTTCTAGGTCGGCAATTTCACCTGCCTTGAAAGGTGCTGTTAGAGTGCAGCAATATTCCAGCCTAGATAGAACAAGTGACCTGAAGAGTGTCATCATGGGCTTGGCCTCCCTAGTTTTGAAGGTTCTCATTATCCATCCTGTCATTTTTCTAGCAGATGCGATTGATACAATGTTATGGTCCTTGAAGGTGAGATCCTCCGACATAATCACTCCCAGGTCTTTGACGTTGGTGTTTCGCTCTATTTCGTGGCCATATAAAATAACATTTTTACTTACCTTTATTGAAGATTGGTGATGGCATCTGGAAGATAGGGAGGAGGAGAGAGGGAGTTGGGGTTAGTGTTTGGAAGGAGAATCCCCCTCCATGAGGACTTCAGGTAAAGCCCTCTCTGGGGTTACTTCCCTTCTCTGTCTTTTAATGCCACTAGGACCAGCTTGAGAGTCACTGGACCCCTGTCTCACAAAATAACTGTCCACGGTCCTCTGTTTCTGGCACCTCTTTAACATTTCCCTAAAATGGGACATGGTTCTGTCACTGAACTTGTTGCAAAGAAGGCTTATTTCAGCTTGCTCAGGGTGGTACTTCTGCACAAACATTTGGACATCATTCCACTTGGCACAGATCTCCTTAATCTTTGAAGAAGGCACCTCATCCACTCCCTATATTAACACCTTTTGCAACATCAGCTTCCTTGATTTGTTCTTTCTTTGACAGGATAGAACCGATGGTCGACTTGTTTTTCCCATACATCCTGGCAAGCTCAACAAGTCTCACACCACTCTCATACTTCTGTATTATTTCCTTCTTCACATCTATGGTGTTTCTCACTTTCTTTACCATAGGGGTACCACTAGCAAGTTTCTTTGGGCCCATGGCAGCTTATTTCACAGTCCCACAAGCACTAAACACAACGAAATAATCGTAAAATGCGTGAATGAGAGCGCAGGTTAGTGTTCACTCAAGCATAAACAAAGCTACACTGCTCACGGCGCCTGCGTGGGGACGCTGACAGAAGACAGGTCCCGTACCCGGCGGTCCGAAAATAGGGGCGCGTTCGATAATAGGGACACAGTTTGTCCGAAAAAATGGTCCTATTTTTGAAACGTTCGATATATGATACGTTCGATTTTTGAGGTTCCACTGTATTTGTTTTGTTTATTTCAAAATGTTCGTAGGAAAAATAAACAGCTGGCCTGCCGAATACATATTACACATGTTCCAGAATTGTTTCTCTTTACTTAGGGCATAAGTTATAGGACATTCTGGCAGGATGACACTACCAGTGGTATAAAAAATGAAAGGATGTTGCACAAATGTTGCACATGGGTCATTTTCAAGGTTTTTTTTATATTTCCTCGACCCCTTGTGGCCACATCCATCTCAAAGCCACTAAACTCGAGGTCAGCATCACTTTCCTCTTAAAAGGGAAGTGAATCCCTGGTGTTTGCCTTGATATTTGCTCTAGCTGGCATTCAATTGAACTGGTGCTCCCACAAGGTACTAAGTGGTCCCAGATTTTTTTTAGTACTGCGCACAGTGAGTGTTAAGACCCATTCTCTACTGACCAGGCATCTCCAGCCAATCATGCCAAATTTGGTGGCAGGAAAAATAAAACATTGATCTATGTTTGGAGTGCTAGTGGTAATAATGTAGACCTACATTTGGACAGTTTTGTTTTTCCCATCATTCACTACTTGGGACAGGATTTTTTATATGGGGCTAGTAACCCCTTTTCTTGTATGAAATACTAAATGGACAAAGGAGCAACAGTTGTAAATATTGACATAAAATATGTTAAATAAATGAAATACAGTCAGGTGATATAGAGTATAAGTATAAACCAAATTACAACAACAAAACATACATTCTGATTTGTTTGAGAGATCGGATTCCAATGTTTTGATATCCCACTGTAATTTTCTTTTAAGTTAAGACACATGTGCAACATCTGGATATGTTTATTGTAGACATTTTGCCATCCAGTGGCTTTATCAATACAGATTCTAGGACATAATTATTGATAAAGAGATAATTGATAAAGCCACTGGATGGCGAAACGTCTTCAATAAAGATAGTATCCAGATGTTGCACATGTGTCTTAACTTTCATATTGTCGGTTTTTTAAATTACCTTTTTTTTCTAAATTTGTAATTTTTTTTTGTTAAAAGGTTTTAAAATATTATAAATTCTTTCACCAGCCCCTCTAATAGTCCTGTTAACCCCTTCGGGGTCCAAGGCCCAAATCAAATTTGGTCCCCCCAGTGTCCAAGAATTTTCAAAAAAAGTTTGTTAGTTTTTTTTTATGAAATGTTAAAAATTTTTTTCCCTAAAGGGAATTTAAAACAAAAATTTAAACAAAAATTTGATGGAAAATTGCCCCAAAAAAAAATACTCTCGCAAATTTTATGTGTCAGCGATATTTCAAAACGGGGCGGTTTTTGGGCCGATTTTTGACCCCCTTTTTTGGGCCAAATTTACATTTTTTCCATAAAACCAAATTCTTAGCAATTTCACTATTAAACTTCTTTTCTATCGATTGAGCACAAAAAAACCCCAAAGCCCAACTGTTTCAACCACAAAATTAAAGTGATGGGAAAAATTTGTTAATTTTGGCCCAAATTTTAAAAAAAAATTTTCAAAATATCCAGTTTCAAAATAGGGTCCAGAAAAAACAATGTGGGTTTATTCCTGGAACTAAACAAACCTTTTCCCTCTTTTTCATTAGTTATTTTTTGAGGTTTTAAACAAAAAAAATTCCATTTAAATTTTTATTAAACATAATAAATTTTTTTATTCACACCAAAAAATAGAAGATTTACTGTTATCCAAACTGTAATAATTGTATAAAAACACACCATATTTGGAATGCATATTGGGAACCCCCCCCCAGTTTGGCGGAAATTAGACTGTGGGGGTCGTTTTTTTTACTCTTGAATATGGGCAAAAAATTTTAACCCTTTATGCTCCCTTTGAGCTCAGTTTCAAGCCTTTCCAGTGCAAAAAACCAAATCAAATTAAACCTCTATTTCTGTAATATGCCCCTTCCATTCTATCAAATGAGCCCAAAAAAATCGCAAATACAACTATAAAAAACATACAAAAAAACACTCCAAAGTCCTGTTTTAATCGAAATATCTGTTTTTCAGTTTTTTTTTCTCCATTATAAACGTGTCCGAGGACCCTTTTTTAAAGTGGTGCCCCACATACCAAAAAAAGTATTCTCTCATATCTAGGCCCAAATGTACCACTCAAAATTTTAAAAGATTTAGCTGAGCTCATGAGTAGACTACGGTTTGGGGGCCCCTAAACGAAAAGCCGTAGATCTAGGGGACGGACCCTAAAAGGGGAAAAAGACTCCCAGAAACTCATTTTTTACAGGTTGGAAGGAAAAAAAGGCCCTTTCCTGTGGCCCCAACCAGAAAAAAGTTGCACCTAAAGTCATTTAAAAACAAAGGCCATGATAATAAAGCTACTACTGGTCCTTGGGGGTGCAATGTTTGAACTTCTAACAGGTAATAAGTTATTAGTTACAAATGAAATAAAATTTTTTTTGTGGAAAAAAATTTTTAATTACTGCCCTTGTTACACAAGATATTTTTTTTAAAGACTTGTTGAACTTAATGATTGTCCCAAAATTTTTTTGAGTAACTTTTTGGAAAACACAGCATTTTGCCATTTTTTTTTTTCATTTGTGTTTTTAAATAAAGCTGCTTGCATTATTTGACAAATTACTTTGGTTAAAAATATTTTTTAGTATCCAGTAAATTTTTTTCCCCAACCCTTTTTTTATTTAAAAAAATTTATTATGTGTTTGTTATGAAATTTTTTCTTGTAAATTAAAGTAATAAATATTCATTTTAAATTTTCTTTCATTTGAAATTTTTAGAAATGTACCCCCTTTATTTCACTGTAATTTTAGGTTTGTATCTTTTTTATTTAAACGGGTAAAATTTAGAATTTATCTCTTTATTTCACTGAAATTTTTTAAGTGTATCCCCCTTTTTTCACTGTAATTTTAGGAGTGAAATTTTTCCTTTATTAATTTCCTTAGTCTAAAAAAAATTTTTATTTTTTTTTTCACACTGGCCGTTTCCCCACCAAGGCGGGGGTGGCCCGAAAAAAAAAAAATTTTTTTCACCATCTTTTACCCATCACTTTTTTTTGGGCCGGAAAGGGGTTGCTTTACACTACAGTTTTTAAACTGCAACATTAAAAACCCCTCCTTCAGAGTGCAGGCACTGTATTTCCCACCTCCAAAACCTCAACCCCACCTGCCTTTTTCCCAAAACCCCCCTTCAAAAAAAATTTTACTTTGCCCCCACTCCAACAGCACGTCAAGTTTTTAAAAAACCCAAATTTGTCCCCTTTCACTCCTATCAAAACACCTCACGAGAAATGCCTGCGAAGCCCAAAAGCCCCCACCCCCCGCACAAAAAACCCCCAACCCTTTCCCCCCCTCCCCCCCAACCTTTCCAGGACGACCCCTCCCCCCGCCCCCCTTTCCCCCACTACAACTGAACACCTTAAAGGGTCCTATGTTTCCTCCATTCTCTCTACATGTCCGAACCACCTAAACAACCCTTCCTAAACCCCTGGACAACATTTTTGGAAATTTCCCAAACAACCTCCTCCAAAATTCCAAACTCCCGAATTCCTGCATTAATTCACACCACAATTGCCCTCAACAGGGACACTCCACTGCCCCACCCTTTCCCCCTCGCTGCAACATTCATCACCCATGCTTCACCCCATAAAGATGTTGGTAAAACTATCTCTCATACTTTCCCCCCTCTTTGCCCCCAAAGGACAATTTTTTTGTCTCCACAGACTCCTAATGCACCACTCCCCCTTTTTCCCCCCCCAATCAATTCAAATATTCAAATCATTTTTCATAGCCCCCATCCCTGAAAATGTCCCCCCCCCAAAAATATCAATAAAATTCACCTCCCCATACCCCTCCCCCCCTCCAACCCGATATCCAATTTTTCCCATCACCTAATCTTTTTTTTTATCCCAAAACCCCTTCCCTTTTTCCTGTTTTCATTTTTAAAATTTTCCTTTTTTTCACCCCCCTCCCAAAATTTTCATCCACCAACTCTGAAACTTCTTTTTCCAGAATTTTCCCCAAGAGAAACAGTGTCATAAATTAAAGAGCAACTGTGACAACTCCCACTTTATTTGTGTTCTTTATTTTTTAACTCCATGCCTCTTCCCCAAGACCCTCGCATTTACTTCTCTTACAACCCCCACTATAAATATAAAAAAACAACCAGGGTGACACCACACCCTTTTGTCAAAGGGCCTACTTTTACGGGGAAAATAATTTCCCTCTTTCCTACAAAACTCTAACTTGACCCTCATTTACCTCGAAAAAACTCTTCACTGCTTTTTTCAGAAAACCTACCTCCTACCCCAAAATACACCTGAAAACATCTCCCAATTCCCCCCCCAAACCCACCCTGTCAAAACCCTTTTTCCAAATCCATAAATGCCCCAAAGACCTCTTTCCCCTTATCAAAATACTTTTTCAATTAAAAAAATATTTTTAAATTTGTAACATTTTTAGATTTTTGATGACATTTTCTTTTCCCCCTTTATAAATTTTGTATTTTAAGCCTCACTTTTCATCGGTCATCTGTTTTAAAAACAACTTTCAAAAGCCCATTTTTCTCCCCAAAAAAAAAAATAAAACCCTTTTAATATTCAGTGGAACCTCTACTTGCGAGCGTGTCCCGTCCCATTTTTTTTCCAAAAAAACAGTTGATGGGTCTTTTTTTGGGGTTTTCCTTACACAGCAAAATTTCCATAAGTGAGCAGACGTCAAGGAAAGGTTCCTTGACACTGATGAGGGGCTCTTGCTCTTATCACGGGAATTGAAATCTCATTTTTTTGTTGGACTATCTTTTGAAATTTGGGCAATTTATGAAAGATGCTTCTTAACGTACACCAAAAATAAAGGGAAACTAAGCAAAAAAAAGGATTTTCACCTCTAAAGCAATTACCCACCCCTTAGCGGAAAATTTCAAATTTTTTTTATGGTTTTTATTCTCTTTTTTTTTTTTGGTCTCTTTTGATAAATGGAAGATATATTACAGAAATAGATATATTTTGATTGCTTCACAATGAAAAGTCCCTTTAAATAGAGTTTCAACCGGGAAAGAAATGGCCCCATTCCCTTGGCTGTTTCAGAGTAAACAAATGACTTTAAACTTTTCCTTTCCCCAAAAATTCATTTGGTGAAGGGGTTGACTTTAATTTAAAACAACTTATATAATAAAAAAATAATAATAATTCTGGGTAGTAGTTGGGAAACCCGAAACCGCCCGGGGAGGTACTACCGCCGGGGCCAAGGAGTGTAAAAAAAAAAACCCTGTAATTGTTTTTACATGTTTGGTGGGTTTGGGCGGGGATCCTTTTTTTCTGTCTCTTTAACCCAGCAAGATTTCAGGTACGTCTTCACTTCTACTCCACTTAGGTCACACACACACACATTTACAAGCGTATATTTTACATCCCCCTTTCGGGGTTTTTTTTCCCAATTTTTTCCTTTCTAGTTCTTGTTCTTTTTTAAATTTCCTTTTAACTCCATGGGAAGTGGAACAGAATTCTTCCCCGTAAGCCGTGCGTGTTTTAAGAGCGACTAAAATCCGGGAGCAAAGGGGACTAGTCCCCCTTCCCGAAAATATTACTAAATTTAAAAGGGAAAAAAACCTTTTGTTTTTTTTTTGGGGGCCACCCCGCCCCCGGGGAAACCCGGCCGGGGGTGTTGAAAGAAAGAAGTATAAAAAAAAAATTTTTTTTTTTTTTTTTTTCAAAAAAGTGGGGGCCTTTCTCCCACCAGGCAGGGTGCCCCCAAAAAAAGAAAGAAAACCCCCAAAAAGAAAATACTTTCACATCTTTCCCAACATTTTTCCACCAACTCCCCACTTTAATCACTGCTTTTGCAGAGGGGGCCAAATACAACATTTAAAAGCATATACTATAAGTTTCACAACATATCCCCCCCAAACTCCAATATCCCAAACCCCTCCTTTAAATTTCAGGCATTGTACTTCCCATTTCCAGGACCAAGCCCCAAACTATTTTTTTTTTGAAAAAAACCCGGGTTTTCCCTGAATCCCTTCACAAAATTTTACCCTGCTCACACCCCAAAAGATCGCATTTCCCAAGTATCTTTCCCGTTTTCCATTCACTCCTTCTAACATGCTCATGCACGTTTTGCTGGAAGCCCCAAAGGGCCCCTCGCCTACAAAACCCCCCCTTTTTAAACCCCCCTTTTTCCAACCCCTTTTTTTGAGGACGACCCCCCCCCCCTCCTTCCTTCCCCTAAAATTTTTAAATATTTTTCCCCATGTCATTCTATTTTGATCCATTCTCTCTAAATGACCAAACCACCTCAAAAAACCCCCTCTTCTGCCCTCTGCCCAAATGCTTTTTTTTAACTCCACCCCTTTCCCAAAATTTCCACACTCCAAAATTTTTCCTGCATAATATTTACACCCCCAACTTTGGGCCCCTTAGACGGGACATCTCCACGGGCCTCCAACCGTCTCCCGCTGCTGCTTTTTCCCAAACCCAATTTTTCACATCCATAAAAGGTGTTGGTACACTATACTTTCATACATTCCCTTCTTTGCCTCCATAGAAAAAACTTTTTTTTGATCCACAATACCCAATGAAACCACTCACCTTTTTTCCCCATCAATTCTATGATTAACCTAAACCCTTTCATAAATCCATCCGCCGACCGTCAACTCCCAAGTATCTAAAAACATTCACTTTTTTTCCATACTCCTCCTCCCCCAATTTGATACCCCAATTTTTTCCCTTTATTTTAAACCCATTTAAATACCCTAAACACCTTACTTTTTCTTTTGTTCACTTTCAACTTTTCTCCCTTTTCCCCACATTCTCAAACTCATCCAAAAACCCTTTTGCAATTTTTTTTTAGAATCCCCAAAAGCACAGTACATCAGAAAAAAGTAATTTGTGTAAATTTCCCAAAATTTTGAATTTGATTCCCCAAAATTTAAAAATTTTCCACCCCTCCCCCCCGAACGCCCAAAGCTTTTACTTTCTTTTTTACAACCCCATCTATAAAAAAATTTTTAAACAACCAGGTGACTTTTAAACACATCCCCCTGCCCTAAGACCTATTTTTTACGGGAAAAATTTTTCCTCTCTTTTTACACACCCAAAACCTGAGCCTCACTATCCTCATAAAAGCTTTTTAACAGCAATTAGAAACTTACCACCTATTCCAAAATACTTTGCAACATCTCCCAACATTGCTCCTCTATCCACTCAAACATACCCTTTTTCCCTAAACCAAAATGCAATAAAAACTTCCCTACCTTTTACAAAAAACGGTCCCATATTTTGTTTCCAATGTAAACCCCTTGATCTACACATCCCCTACCCCCTCTGAAGCCTCCCTGCTCATACCGCATCCTACATTCTGTCTTTACCTCAAATTTTTTCAATTATAACCCTTCCATATA